TCCCAGATAACGGGACAATTGTGTTCTGTTCTGTGAATTCTTTTCCCACAGACAGAACGTCTTTGTTCTGCTTGTAGGAACAGAGATTTCTGGAACAGTTCAGTTCAATAAAATTTCTGAAGCCCGCAGTACTTCGAGTCACTCCGGCACTCCACGGAGTGGCGGAATGCGTTTTTTCCCCCTTGGAGAAATGCCACGATAATTTCCACATATTTTCGATCGCCTTTGTTCTTGAAAGGACGAATTAGAATGGCCAAAGCCCAGTCTGCGGAGTTCCAAATCTCGACGAACATTTTGTGGAGCCATTTGAGTACAGGTGCTCCTCCGGCTTTCAGCAGATCTGCAGCAATGTCGTCGTTGACCGGAGCTTTCTTGCTCCTCCTTTGTTTCAAAGCTACCTGCACTTCCTCCAGGGTTGGAGGTCTGACTTGTCTTTTTTATTCTACGATGGATATGGGTGCGGGCTGAATTTCGTCGATGAGAAGAGGACCCACTTCCGAGTTCACGTTTAGGAGTTCACTAAAGAACTCTCTCCATCGTTTCAATCCTTCGTTAGCACTGAGAAGGAGTTTTCCATTTTTGTCCTGTATCGGCATGTTCTCCGTGTTGCGTCTTCCGGCACGCAATCGTCTTCTCATGGCGTAGGTGATTGCTGAGTCGTGGTGTTTGTTAGCTTTCTGTATCTCCAGACTGAGTTCGTCCCAGTACTCAATCTTTCTTTGGTCGGACAGAGTCTTCACGACTTTTCTCAAAGCCACATATTTCTCTCGATATTTCTTTTCAGTTGCTGTTTCACAATGGTTGATCCAATTCAAAAAGACGTTTCCTTTCTCTCAGCCACCTCCATAATTTCATCCGCCTCCTTGTTATCAATAACAGATTTGAAATGTGTTGTGGCAGCTTCTTTGAGATGAGAGACGAATTGATCATACTGCTCCTTGATGTTAAGTTCGCTGTCTTTCACTTCATTGAAGGTTCTGGTGACTTCTTTCTGAAAGACAGGACTCTGTTCTCGTCGAGCAATTCACTGGATGACGGAAATGAATTACAGAGTAATTCAAAAAAAATGAATTGCAAAATAATTCCAATTCTATTCTAATTCTAAGATACTGTGAGGTACTATAGTTGACTATAAGGGACTGTAAGGTACTATAAGGTACTATAAAGGACTATAGGGGACTATAAGGGACTATTGGGTACTACAGGGGACTTATATACTTATTATAATTATATCAGAAGCATGTTTCTTGAAACGAAACTCGGGACTACGTTGAAAAATTTCGTGTGCTATTAATGATCGATGGATGCAATATCAGAAACTAATTTTGAATTTCGAGGTGGAACGAATTCGTTAGATGACGGTAAGTGCCAAATGTTAAGTCGACCAAGTATACCAACATTTTCCTTTTTCTGGTGCATCACTTGTAAGGTGGACGACATCTTACCACCAGTTGTAGCAGGAACTAAAAATAAACAAAATATTTCATGCACTTATCACGTACTTCACACTCTCACATATTGAAACTTAAAGATTCACAAAAATCTCAGTGTTTTGATGTGATGTTATCAGATTTAATAAAAACAAACTCAATAGAACTTAAAATCATACATAAAAAAACAAGATCTCTTATTGTTTCCTTGGCATATACTCAAGACATATCTAAAAAATCTGATGCATTGAAAGGGTCGAATTTTTGACATTGAAATTTTGACGACCGGTTGTTCGATTATAGTTTGAAAGACCATCAAGTGCTGAACATAATAAGTTTACACCAGCAGCATGCATGGAGTCCGAAGGTGAATAAAAACCAAGTGTTGACAAGACAACATCCCCTTCCTCATGACATAAAAATGTATCTGTTGTTGCTAAATTTTTTGTTATAGCCAACTCGGTGCATACTTCAGCCATGAATGAGGCTTTCAACATTTTGCTTGATGTCGACGATAATTCATTTGCTTGTTGTAATGGAACTTGGTCAACATCGATTTTGTTTGCATCTTTATAGATTTCAGGATGATAAATGAATTGATAATGATGACCAAGTGTATTGATTGCATGACGAATTAGTTTTATATAACTACTCTTGTTTGATCCTAAAAAGATGCAATAATATATTATACTAATATTTATTCAAAACGTTCTCTTCACATTTAACGACATCAATATACTGTTCTCGTCGCGCTTTACAATTACATTTGGATGTCTTCTCAACTTAGAAGAATCTCACGGAAGCTAAATATAGGTCGACATATATATATATCGATTTGAGATTTATATCATATATCTTATATATTTATAATACTGAATATCTCTAATCTTTCAAATAATAATAATTCCCTAAAACATTTAGCAATTTATACGAAACTGGCAAACTCCATGATTTGAAAGAAAATTCCAGGAGCATATTCACCATAAAATGACCCACAAAAGAATATCAGTAATTCTCTCGGTATAACTGCTTGTTTATCTTAAATTCTGCCAAATGGATTCAAATTTGACATATACGTCATTATTATCTCTATATCGATTGTACATTATATAGAGCTTTTCAAAATATTCTATCTTCGTTTCATATTTTTATAAGATAGCGGCTAGTGAAAGTCAGTTAAAAAAAATGTCTTTCACACTCATACCATGTTTTTGAAATTGCCTCATTAGGAAAAACAAGAATTAATGCGAATTATGAAATAACTCATACATTCTACTGTTTATCGTAAATCAATGGGTAAAAATAAGAGAAACCATTTCATTTGCTAATTCTTTTGAAAATACCTGTTTTTCCAACAATCAAAGATCCATGGTTCAACATTATTGGTATGTTATCAAGTCTTTTGATAAAGGAACGATTTGATATTGCACCCAATGCAGTTAATGTA